CCATAGAATAAGTCTAATTTGAGTAATTTAGTCTAGTCCGGGTTGCTCCCCACAGAAGAGTTTGGTAAAGTAGCAGGATATAAAGTCAATACAGAAAAATCAACAGCCTTTGTAGACACAGACAATGCCACGGCTGAGAAAAAGCTTCTAAGATCAATCCCATTCACAACAGCCACAAAAACAAGTATCTTGGAATAAATTTGACCAAGGATGATAAAGATCTTTACAAAGAGAACTACAAAACACTGAAGAAATAGAAGAAGATACAAAAAAAAATGAAAATCTTCCATGCTCATGGATTGGAAGAATCAATATCATCAAAATGTCCATTCTTCTAAAAGCAATTTACAGATTCAATGCAGTATCAATCAAAATACCAAAGACATTCTTCTCAGATCTAGAAAGAATGATGATGAGATTCATATGGAGGAACAGGAGACCTCAAATAGTTAAAGCAATCTTATACAACAAAAACAAAGCTAGAGTTATCACAATACCAGACTTCAAGACACACTACAGAGCAGTTATAATAAAAACAGCCTGGTACTGGTACAAAAACAGATGGACCAGTGGAAAAGAATAGAAAGCTCAGAAAGCAATCAAATATCTACAATCAACTTATTTTTAACAAAGAATCTAAAACCAATCCCTGGAGCGAGGAAATTATCTTCAAAAATGGTGCTGGGAAAACAGGATGTTCATATGCAAAAATATGAAGCAAGGTCCCAACCTCACACCTTACACAAAAATCCACCCAACTTGGATTAAAGATCTAAATCTACAACCCAAAACCACCAAATTATTAGAGAACATTGGAGAAACCCTGCAAGACATTGGCATAGCAAAGAATTCCTAAAAAAGACCCCAGAGACACAGGCAGTCAAAGCCAAAATGAACAAATGGGATTACATCAAATTGAGAAGCTTCTGTTCAGGAAAAGAAACAGTCAGGAAAGTGAAGAAGCAACCAACAGAATGGGAGAAATTATTTACAAACTATACAACTGATAAAGGATTAATAACCAGAATCTTCAAAGAGATCAAGAAACTCCACAACAACAAAACAAACAACCCAGTTAAAAGATGGGCCAAGGACTTAAACAGACATTTTTCTGAAGAGGAAATCCAAGTGGCCAACAGACACATAAAAAAATGTTTGGGATCACTAACTCTCAGGGAAATGCAAATCAAAATCACAATTAGAACAGCTTTCATACAGCAGTTAGAATGGCTTTCATACAGCAATCAACAAACAAATGCTAGAGAAGATGTGGGGAAAAAGGCACCCTACTCCACGGTTGGTGGGATGTACACTGGTAAAGCCGCTACAGAAGACAGTATGGAGGTACCTCAAAAATCTGAAAATAGACCTACCGTATTACCCAGCCATCCCACTCCTGGGAATTTACCCAAGGGAAATGAAATCAGTAAACAGGAGAGCTATCTTAACCTCTATGTTTATAGCAGCTCAATTCACAATAGCTAAGAAATGGAATCAACCTAAATACCCATCAACTGAAGACTGGATAAAGAAATTATGGGATATGAGGTCGGCGCTGTGGTGCAGTGGGTTAATGCCCTGGCCTGACATTCTGGCATCCCATATGGGCACTGGTTAGAGACCCGGCTGCTCCACTTCTGATGCAGCTCTCTGCTATGGCCTGGGAAAGCAGTAGAAGATGGCCCAAGTCCTTGGGCCCCTGCACCCACATGGAAGACCCAGAAGACTCTCCTGGCTCCTGGCTTCTGATTGGTGCAGCTGCCATTGCAGCCAACTGGGGAGTGAACCAGCAGATGGAAGACCTCTCTCTCTCTCTCTCTCTCTCTCTCTCTGACTCTCCTCTCTCTGTGTATCTCTGACTTTGAAATAAATAAATAATCTTTAAAAAAAGGAAATTATGGGATTTGTACACTATGGAATACTACACAGCAGAAAAAAAATAAATGAAATCGAGTCATTTGTACCAGAAATGTATCAATCTACTTCATACTTAATGAAATAACTTAGTCGCAAAGGGACAAATGTTCTCCCTGATCTGTGAGAATTAGTAGTGTTCCTATAATGAAAGCTATAGAAGTGAAATTCACACTTTTAGAAACAATGACTTGAATAGCCCTAATCCTGATTTTCAAAGGACAATTTTTTATTTTTATTTTTTATTTCCTTTTTTTCTTTTTTTCCCTTTTTTCTTCTTCATACTATATGTTGAACTCTTTATGTAACATAGAGTCAATTATAAGCATATTAAATCAATTGAAAATAGATCACAGTTAAGAATAAGAGGGATAATAAGAGAGGGAGGAGGTATTTTATAACTGTAAAGCTGTATAGCTCTGCACACAGTCCTACAAACAACAGAAGTCACTGTGCACTTACTACCCACATAGGACCTCTGTCCTTAATGAGTTGTACTATGATAATTAACTGCAAAACTTGTTCTCAAACTGTACTTTATATGTTGGGTGTGTATGTGGGTGCAAACTGTAGAAATCTGTACTTAGTATAGAGATGGTCCTCTGGATATAAATGAACTATAAGGAACTATAATCAAGAAGGAGATGGGAGAAAGAGTAGGAGGTGGGATGGGAGACAGGGTGGGAGGGCGGGTATGGGGGAAAGAACCACTACATTCCTAAAGTTGTACCTATGAAAAATGCATTCATTAAATAAAAGCTTTAAAATAAAAATAAATAAATAAAATCAACATCTAAAAATAAAAAGCATTTGTATACACAAACAATGCCATGGCTGAAAAAGCACTTGTAATATCAGACCTCTTTACAATAGCTACAAACAAATCAAATACATTGGAGTACATTGAAACAAAGATATGAAAAATCTCTGCAAAGAAACTACAAAACAATATGGAAAGAAATAGACAATAGAAAAAATGGAAAATCCATCCATATTAATGGATTGAAGAATTAATATAATTAAAATGTCCATACAACCTGAAACAATTTATAAAGATTCAATGCATTCCTAATCAAAATACCAAGGAGATTCTTCTTTGATCTAGAAAAAGACCTTAAAATTCATATGGAAACAAAGAAGATCCTGAATAGCTAAAGAAATCTTAAACAATTAAAGCAAGGCAGGAGCCATCACAATACCAGATTTCAAGACATATTGGAGGTAGTTATAATCAAAAAAGCCTGGTACTGGCAAAAAAAAAAAAAATAGACATGTAGAACACCAGAACAGATAATAAGCCCCAGAAATAAATCCATACATCTATAGCGAACTAATATTTGAAAAATGAGATAAAAATCACTCCCTGGAGAAAAGATGTCTCATCAAAAAATGATCGCTGCATGCAGAAATATGAAACAAGACCCATTACCTTACACTCTATTCAAAAATTAATTCACAATGGATCAGGGATCTAAATCTAAGACCTGAAACTATCCTATTATTTAAAAAAAAAAAACAGGTGAACTCTGCAAGAATTGGACTAGGCAAAGTCTTCTTGGATAAGACCCCAGAGCCCAGGCAATAAAAACAAAAACAGACAAGTGTAATTACAACAACCTAAGAAGCCTCTGTACAACAAAGGAAACACTCAACAAAATGAAGAGGCCACAGACAGAATGGTATAAAATATTTGTGAACTATACATATGATAAAGGATAGAAGGCACTCAGGAAATTCAACATTCAGAAAACAACAATCCAGGTAAGAAAGGGGCAAAAGACATGATGAGGCATTTTTCAAAGCATAAAATACAATGGCCAACAGGCACATGAAAAAATGCTCAGGATCAATAACCATCAGGTAAATGAAAATGAAAACTACAATGAGATATCACCTCACCATAATTATCAAAAAAAATGCTGGAAAGGATGTGGCAAAAAATGTACCATAATGCACTGTTGGATGGAATGTAAACTAGTACAACCATATGGAAGATAGCATGGGAAGCCCTCATATATCTGAAAATAGATCTATCATGTCACCCAGCCATCCCACTCCTGGGAATTTATTCAATAGAACTCAACATATGAAAGAGTTATCTGTACCCATATGTTTATAGCAGCTCAATTAACAATAGCTAAGATATGAAATTGACACCTTGAGATTTGATTGCTGTTTATGGCCTTTGTCTATACTCCTGTGGAACAGTAGTCTTTCTAATTGTAACTGACTGAATTCTTTATTTAGTGGAGGATTAAGCTTGTGATTATAAAGTAAACTGAAAGTATATTACTGCAAAAATTTTTTAAAAAGGGAAGGAAAGAAGATGGAGGGAGGGTAGGAAATATCATTATGTGCTTAAAATTGTACATATGAAGTACAATAAATCTATTTTCTTTATATAAATAAAAAATTATTTTTAATGAGTATATTTATTCAATAGACTTTCAGAAATTAGAATAGCAAAAAACTGTTCCACTTAGGCTTTGAACAATAAAAGATTTCTTTTCTCTTTAAAATCAAAGAAAATAAGCATATTTTAACATATTTTTACAGTATTCTACTTGTTTCAAAAAATGGGGTTAAGATAAGTCTCTTATTCGGAAGGTTGAAATTGAAAGTCAAGTACTTATTTTATTGTTTAAATGAACATTAAGGTAAATGTCATTATAATCAGAATTTTATCTATGAGTGACATGAAATCTGTTCTCTTTTTTTACCATTAGTGACATGACAATTGAAAAATACATATGTAATAGATTAAAATTTTAGCCACAAAAATAAAAAGACAAAATGAACATATATTAAACTTCAAAGATCTTTTTGTATAGTACTATGGATTTGAATACATGGATATATATAGCAAGGTGCATAATAGTTCCATCACTCCCCAATACTAGCGTGTACTATACTTCTGAGGTCACACATTTTCCCCACTGCTAACCCTTGATAACTACTGATCTATTTTTCATGTTGAGAGATTTCTTTCTTTTTAAAAATATTCTACCATAGATCAATTTATTTTATTTTATTAATTTGAAAGGCAAAAAGAGAAGAGGGATGGGCAGCAGAAAGACTGAGAAAGAGCTCCCATCCCGATTCACACCCCAAATGCCTGCAACAGCCTGTGCTGGACCAGGCCAAAGCCAAGAGCCAGGATCTCAACCTGAGTATTCTATATAGGTCAGCGACCCAACTTCTAGAGCCATCACTACTATTTCTTAAGGCCTTGATCAACAGGAAGAAGAATCAGGAGTAGAGATGGGACTCAGACTCAAGCACCCTGTCATGCAATGCAGGCATCCTTGGTAGCATTTTAACTATGAGACCAAATATCTGCCCCCAAATAACTGACTTTTTTTATATAGGAAGTTATCTATTATTTATCACAATCAGAGTTTTTATAGCACATTTAATTTAAGAATATTGGAACAGCAAAGGCAATAAGAAATGCTTATTCTTTTCCAGCTAATTCTGGAAATAAGTCATAATGACTTTACATAATATTTGGTTACTGGTTTGAACTCAACATTGCATTTTTTATCTACAAATTATAGTACCAAAGATCCCTTTTTGTTCAATGTCATTTAAGCGTGGGATTTCCACTGCTTCATTTCATTTAATCTGATGTGTAAATTCTCGTGAAAGCCATTCATTCTCATTATTTGTACTGGTTTGTCTTTGGCAAAAGACTCAAGAGCCTTCTTTCATTGTATTGAAAGCCAGTAGTATTGTTATATTACAATGTACTAACATTATTTTTCATACATAAAACTGAAAGCTGTTAGCAATATTATATTCCTTCAATGGTTAAATAATCCATGTACTTCATCATATTTTTAATATCAATTCAGTTTTTTTCACTTCATAAATACTGTTTCTGACAGTTGCACTGTATTAATTATGGGAGATCTGGAAATTTCGTTATAAGTAAATAAACATACTATTATCATGAAAGAGTTTCTTATTCATCCAAATTGTTGTTGAACTTTAAAATGTCAAAAAATTATTTCTAGTTTCTGCATATTCAAATGCCTTATATACAGTAGTTTTAAAAAGTGTGTATTTGATCTATTCACCTATCTCAAAAGAGTAAAAGCAACAAAAAAGTTGAAAAATGTGTAGAAAAAAATAATAAAGGTAACAGCAATAATTAATGAAGTAAACATAAAATAAATAGGATCGATAAAAAGACAGAGAGGCATTGAAAACAATAAATAAATATATAAATCTTTGAGCGGCTCTACAGGGAACTCATAACATAAATGAAAAAGAGACAGCACTCCAAACTCCACTGGCATTGACCAATATAAAATATAATAAACAATAAGATGGGGACTGGCACTGTGGCGCAGCAGGTTAAATCCCTGGCCTGAAGCGCCGGCATCTCATATGGGCACTGGTTCTAGTCCTGGCTGCTCCACTTCTGATCCAGCTCTCTGCTATGGCCTGGAAAGCAGTAGAAGATGCCCTAGTGCTTGGGCCCCTGCACCCGCATGGGAGACCCAGAAGAGTCTCCTGGCTCCTGGCTTCGGATCAGCTCAGCTCTGGCCATTGCAGCTATCAGGGGAGTGAACCAGTGGATGGGAGACCTCTCTCTGTATCTCTACCTCTCTCTCTGTAACTCTATCTTTCAAATAAACAAAATAAATCTTTTAAAAAAAACCAATAGGATGACTATAAACTTGAAATCTTGGATGAATTGGCTAAATTCCTTGGAAATAAAAAAGATTACTAAAGCAACTTAGGATTAAAATTTTAAACAGTCTGATTATAAATAAAACTATGTAGGGTTTTAACGTGTAACTTTAAGAGTTTTCTATAACAGATACCACAGGCATGATGGGTTGATTGCTGAATTTTTCAAAACTCTGAACAAAGAAATACAATGAGGCTTATACAAACTTTTCAAAGAAGAAAAAGCAAGTAGATAGGGTACTCTTTATGAATCATTTTATGAGACCAGCTGAACACAGAAACAAAAATATGTCAAGACCAAAAAAAGAAAGTTAATAAACAAAAATGTCTCATGAAAGTGAGGATAATAATTGCTAACACTTCTACAAATAATTTTATATTACATACAAAATACATTTAGAATGGGTTTTAAATTATTTTATATACAACATATATAAACAACAATAAGCTAAACGTATAGGTCATATTTAGCTGAGGAAAATATGATAAATTCTATAGATGAAGAAAAAGCATTTGAAATAATTAATCATATGATAATATTAATTTCCTTAACAAACAAGCAATAGAAGTAAAAATCTGCAACCAGATAATGGAAAACCTAGACCTAATATAACATCAAATGTAATAGTGAAATATAAATTCCATTACCCTTAAAATTAGGAAAAAGTTAAGATACTTGTTCTGCCTCTCAAATGTACCTGTTTTGGAGGTTTTAGTCAACGCTATTAGGCAAGGAAAATCAAATCACACCGTCAAAATCAAAATAAGTCACACATACTGAACAGAATTAAAACAGTCTTTCTTGGAAGATGGTATTTTCACATAATATGAATTCAATGGAATTTGGAAACAAAACCATAATAAATAAATTTACCAAATACCTAATATATGAGGAGCATTCAAAAAGTTCCTGGAAAACAATTATGAAAAAAATATGTATAAGTCTCAAAAATATTTTGAGTCAAAATAAATAGTGTTGAATTCCATTTCCATGAACTTACTGAAGTACCCTCATGTAAGACTAATACTAAAATATGACATTCTACTGGGTGATCTGAAAATGTCAGACTCAAATTACAGTAGCAGTAAGATATTCACCTTGCACAAATAAACAACACAATGCACACCTGTATGTATGTCACTATAAGAATCTTTTTTTTTCCCCTGTGGGTGGCAAGGGCATAATCCAGAAGTATTCACATTTCCAGATTTCAGGATCTGACAACAGTAGCCACATCTTCCCTTTCATTTCAGAGTTTAAGTCCTTTCGCTTTGTTCCATTCCTATGTTTATAGGAATGGAGCTGTGAGGAAAGGCAATGAAAGAAACAAACAAACAAAAAAGCTATTATGAAATTAGAAGAGGCACAAAATGTTCACAGAATTCAATGCATGAACAATTTTCCAAAAACTCTGTTATATATTAATTGCCTTCTGATGGATGCTCGAAAGAATGTCTGATTTCAAACGAACAAGTAGACACAACATTTTTTCAGGGATTTGCTGGACTGTGAACATTCACACACAGACAATATTCTTCTTTACTGCATTTCCAACAGCTTAGCTTGATTCAGTTTATTATGCTTAATACTCAGATCCATACTAGCATGCTAGAGATTTCTTTTCAAGCAATAAATCTTCAACTTCTTATTTTAGGTTTTGACTCAGCAAAAGGTCTGAAGAAGTGACTTGTTTTTGAGAAACTGAGATAATATATATGACAGATTTTTGGAAAAAAAAGTTTTACCCCATATTCACATGTGCTTCATTACTGAGTGCATATTTTTTCCTTATTTTTCCTTTTCCCACTCTCTACTACTACACTTTCTGTGCCTATCTTGAAACTGTCTTCCTTAATTTGCCAATAATCATTCTTATTTCTCAACTTCAGTAAGTTTTACTGCTTATTAGGGCCAACATAAGTATAATAAATTATAAGTAAGGGGAAAATAGACAAATTACACTGATAAAATTTAATAATCAGCTCAGAGATATACAGCAACTGTTATAAATGATTCAAATCTAAATTTTGACAACATAAATTATATTTTTCTTTGCAACACAGCTACAAAGTATTCACAAGTTATAACTCACTGCAATATATATTCATATATTATTTATAAGTTTTTATCCAACCAGTCAATGTACTTGTCTCTTATCCTACGACCTAGATGTAAATAAAATGGTGATGTCATATATGATAAAGCTCCATGGAATCCATTCTCCATATGGTCATGAGCAACTTGAACTCCAACATTTCGCAGTCTTGAAACATACATAAGTCCATCATCTCTTATGAGATCATGTTGACAGGTAAGGATATAGGTTAGTGGCAACTTCTGTAACTGGGAATCATTGGCCAACAAGGGTGATGCTCTGTCATCCATAAGTGCTGGCAATGAAAAACTAGCTCTTCCAAGAATTGGTTCAGTATAAATGTAGTCCTTCTTATAGTTCGCAGGAAGAAGAGTACTCCAGTTAACAAACTTAAATAGATGTCTTGATTCCAGGGGCATATACTGGTTTCTTCTCATTGCCTCGGGGAGTGTTTGATCCCTGGTGAAATACAGACTGACCAGCTTTATGGCCATTTCCCGTGTCAGAATTACACCATGCTCATTTTCTCGGTGAGATGGCAAGTAAGAATCAATTGCCTGTAAGGCAGGGTAAAGTAAAGCATGTGCTTTGATTTTATGTTCTATTTCAGGATCATTCTGTACCTAAAATACAAATAGTAATACATTGTAAGGCAAAGATTTCTACAACCAGGAGGAGAAATCTAACTTTAAACATGAGATAAGCCATTCTACATGAATTGGTAATGATAAACTGTAATTATTTTCACAATATTTATAATATCTTTCATTGGCATGAAAAACTCATGCTCTTTTCAAACACTAAAGTTTTTAAATAATGATAGAGTGAGTGAGAAAGAAAGAGAAAGAGAATGGGAGAGATAGAAAAACACAGAAACAGAAAAAGTAAAAGAGGAGAGAGAAACACAGTGGAAATAACCTGATCCTAAATGGATTCTAGGGGAAATTGATAGTATGCTCATATTAAAGTTTGTAAAAATTCTTTCTGACTGAAGCTAACCAAAGTAAATGAAATAAACATAATACTTAACTAGTATTATTTTAATGTTTATTTTTAAAAAATAACAAAATAATAATTTTAACATTTTGCCAATATGAAAATATTTAAAATCTTGAAACATTTTTTTAAATGTGGGACAATTTTAAAATAATATATTTGAGTATTAGGCAAACATTCACAACATCATACCATAAATTCATGAAACATTACACAGATGCAAAATACATGGACAAAATTGGAGGGAAATGCCAAGCATTACTTTCTGAGAGAATGGTGGAGTGTTTGGAAAACAAAAGGAGAAAACTATGAAAAAAATATGTTGAGGTTCACGAAGTTTGATATGCGGGAAAAACATATAGATTATTTTGCAAGGAACCCCTATACCTTGGCAGAGAAGCAGAGTATGTTGAAGCCCCATCTATGGCCCTGCAGACTGCAAGAGAAAACTTTGAATTAATCTTATAGGAGCTATTGTCTCCACCAGAGGCTGCATCTGCAGCAATGTCATCTGAACAAAGGAAAACACCCACTGCTGTTCCAAGTGAAAACCTCAGGATAAGAGAATGTGTCTCTAAACCACAGCAGCACCTTAACCACTAGACTAAACATGTGCTCCATTCTAAATTCTTCAAAATGGCATAAGAGTTTTTCATGGATTTGTCCCAAATTTTGGTATAAACATATGGACAACAGAACAATTTTTTTCATAGTGTCAATAAACTACTCTCTTGATGTCCATAATATCAGTGGTATGGCCTATAACTTGAAGAACCAGTTACAGATTCAAATAGAGTGATTAAGAAGCCTATGTCACAGATCCAGCTCCTGACTCTAGCTTCTTGTTAAATGCAGATCTTTGGAGCAAGTGGAAAATATATTTGAAATTAATAAAACAAAATTTTGGAGTGAAGTGGGCCAGCACCATTTCACTCTTACATCAGTTTCTCTGTTCATAAACAGTCTTCATAGGTGTCTTGAGTTGGGAGAGATGACTGCTTGAGATAAAGCTGGTAAAGGTCAAAGAAGAAATTTTTCATGACTATTCCCTGCATGGAGAGGCCTGCATCAATGTATAACTGAACTATTCAAAACCTATTCAAAGGAATTCTCTGTAGTGGATACCTATGCTTTGTATAAAGCTCACTTCATTCAGTCCAATGTGTTGGTAAATTCTTTCCAAATGCCCTGTGACCACCAACTGGGCATAAAATTTGCCTTTACATTGGTAAGTTCCTCATGTCAAAGGGTTATATTGAAGTCCCTATATTGAGACTCTCATCAACTACTACCCTTCTCAATACAGTCACTGGTTGACACGGGATGGGATCCTACCATTAAGCCCCCAGGATCGGATGTGTGTTTCTCCAAAGTCCTGCACATCCACACGAATTGATGCACGACCTATCACCCAGAGAAAGATGGATATATGCAAAATAATATCTGTGGATAATTTTTAAAGATATATTTATTTATTTGAAAGGCAGAGTTTTAAAAAGGGAGAGGCAGAGAGAGAGAGAGAGAGAGAGATTTGTCTTCTGTCCACTGGTTCACTCCCCAGATGACCACAATAGCCGGAACTGCGCTATCCAAAGCCAAAGCCAGTAGTCAGGAGCTTCTTCCAGGTCTCTCACATGAGTGCAGAGGCCCAAGGACTTGGGCCATCCTCGACTGTTTTCCCAGGCCATAACAGAGAGCTAGAGAAGAAGTGGAGCAGCTGGGACTCGAACCAGTGCCTCTACAGGATGCTGGCACTGCAGGCACGGCTTTACCCATTCTGGATGAATTTTTTTTCCCACAAAACTTGGCATATATGTTATTTTCAACCCAGACATCTAGCATTGTAACGGTTGTGATTGCTATCCCACTAGAAGGATTTAGACAAAGCCTGTGAATAAGCCATCAAGCATAACACAGGAAATATTGGTTCAGCTCCAGTTTTGTTTGAGGATGCAGAGATGGTGTTTGGACAAACATCTTAGTAACCTGTGGCCAGGAATATGGCTCAGGCCCATTAAGTATTCACAATAAAGGATCTCTGCAGACTTTTCTCATTTCCTTGGACCAGGAACCATGGAGAGAAACAAACAGTGACTATGTAAACAGGGAGAGGACCGGATGAACCCACCCACACCCTACTTGGGCAAACAAATTAAACACATCTGAATCCATAGATGAGTAATCATTTACCACTGGTTCCAGAGGAGTGCAGGGACAATGTCTTTAAATGTGTTCCATAGATTCACATTAAGAATAATCTGTGGGATTGTGTTGTTATATGATGGACCAGGTTAAAGGAAGTTGCTAATCAGAAAACAGAAATTGAAGAAAGGCAAGGAATTCAAACCCTGAGATATTTTGATGGATGAGGAAAGCAGAAATATAGATGTGATGTCAGGGTTTAAAAGCATGGTATATATGTATCAGTGAATATGACCTATGTCCATATATATCAGATTCCAAAGCACTTAGAGTCTAGATGGGGATATGCATATGCAACAAATAATGGGATAACTACTATGCTCTAGTAATGTATAAATTGTTCCCAGTAACATACAGAAAAAAAGAGAATAGATTTGCTTGGAGGAAAGTCTGGCTTATACAGAACACCAAGGAAGAAATCAATTTGGGTATCTGAATTCAGAGATCAGGACAGTTTTCTCAGAGGAAGTTTCAGATTTCATAGTCTTCAACATATAAATCATAACTACAGACATAAGAAATGGCAGAGAATGGTATAAAAGACAAAATAACCCATGTGTCTTTTTAGAGTCCACAAACTATTGATCTATCAGCAGCGAAGTTTTACTGACACCACAGGTTTTTTTTTAATTTTATTTATTTATTTATTTATTTTATTTTTTGACAGGCAGAGTGGACAGTGAGAGAGAGAGAGAGAGAGAAAGGTCTTCCTTTTCCGTTGGTTCACCCCCCAATGGCCGCCGTGGCCAGCGCACCGCACTGACCGGAAGCCAGGAGCCAGGTGCTTCGCTTGGTCTTTCATGCGGGTGCAGGGCCCAAGGACTTGGGCCATCCTCCACTGCATTCCCAGGCCATAGCAGAGAGCTGGACTGGAAGAGGAGCAACCAGGACAGAATCCGGCACCCTGACCCGGTGTGCTGGCGCCGCAGGCGGAGGATTAGCCTATTGAGCTACAGGGGCACCGGCTGACACCACGGTTTGTAAGCATTAAATCTGTAATATATTGCCAATCAATTGTAACATTATGAGATTATAAGAAAGCTTTATATTCATCATAAAGTAAAAGTTGGTTCTGATGACTCGGATAAACCTAGTGAAAAGAAAAATTTTTGGATCAAAATATGACTCAGGTAGAAAGTTTTGTAGTCTGTTCTCACTTCAGCAGCACCTATACTAAAAATAGAAAGTTTTGCAGTGCAAGAAGAATACATATCTTAAAGTATGATCATATAGATAAATATGAAATGGTAAAAGAAATCATGTTTGCAAATACTATTTAAGTACATTGAGTTCTGATGCACTATTACCAGCAGCAACAATCCCTTTGAACAGACAGAACATACTGTGTAAATAGATGCTATGTTCCTTTATACTTCATTAAGGGACTAGAATGAAGGTTAATTTTAATTGAGAACAATTCACTACAGATTTTACTGAGACTCGCTTCTGTTTCTGATGCCTGTGTTAATATTTATGATTAACCTGTTGGAAAGCTATAAGGAGCTATAAGGTAGGCCTTTCCATCTTCATAATCTTTATGGCTATATAATTATTTAAATTAAGCTTCTTTACAAAGAGAAGCAAATGCATCAAATATGCAGGTGTGTCAAGATGTTGCTTGATTACTGCTGAGTAATTATTAAATATTTTTCAGAATCTACACTTGCAAAACCAGTTCCAGATAAAATTTAAGGTCAGCTTGCTCTGCAACATGTTATAGCACTTAGTATAATAATCTCAAAGCAGGGAACTCTTCAATATTAACCTTCCTTACTACCAGACCACCCAACTCCATAAGATCCTTCAAATAAACAATGCTATTTGTAAGATACAGCAAATTAGTTCAGGCTGCAAGATAACTCAGGAATCAATCAGTCAATAGTTTCAAACTTTCTTTTTGATAATGAAATTCTTCTTTATTTTTAGAAAATGTACATAGAACTCTAACCCCAAAGGGGATTAAGGTGGAGCAAGTTGGATTAAGGGGTGACCTTTGGTACAGAATCAAAGGTGAGGCTTTGCTATCATAGCTGCTTGGAATCTACAGTATGGTTTGTGTGTGTGTGTGTGTGTGTGTGTGTGATGTTACTGATTACTATATATGAGAACACTCAAAAAGCCAATAAAAGGACCCCAGCAGCTGAGAACATATGCACCAGCATTGGAAAGTGAGGTAAGACCAGACTACTGCAGCCCATGCCACTGGTGATAAAGTGACAGGAAGAGCCTAGTGGGAACACGCCTTGGAGCCCCATGGAGGATAGTGTACCAGCCAATCTAGAGGAGAAAAAAAAGGAGGGATACATTTCTCTCTCTCCAGTCACCTTACAACAGCATCCTGTAACAAGCCAATAGAGGGGAGTACCATTTTGGACATATGTAATAGCTGCACCAGCTTGCGTCATGCTCAGCAACCAGCAGAGTG